AGAGGACCTAAAGGAGGCCCAGGCTGGAACAAAGTACAAAGGAGACCTAAGAGATAAGTGAGGCAGTGTCTCGCCAAAGATTCCCCAGGACTGTGATGAGTAAGAAGAAACCACTGCCTGCAGCCAGGAGGCCTCTTGGTGGAGGGGGCTGTTTGTTACACAGCTAATCTGCCCTGGCTGACACATCCTCTAGCTGGGCCTTTATTCAACCAGCCTGGCCAGGGAGCCAGAGTGGGAAGCAGAGAAGCCAGGCCTGCTGTCTTTAGCTATTCTTGATGTCTCGAGAGTCCAGGACCGCCTCAGGACACTCACGAAAACCAACCCAAGTCCAGGTGTTTGTTCCCCACAGGTGACCTCTCCGGAGCAAGACCTAGGGAGCCCAGCCCCAGCAAGCACCTGCTTCCCATTGCTACAGGCCCGCCCACCTGCAGACTGGAGGAGCCAGCTCACCTGCCTAGTTCCACAGCCTAATTCTCACTGCTGATAACAGCCAAGAAAACAAGAGGGCGAAGGCCAGGATGGGAGGCGACTGTGGGCACCCCCACTGCTGAGTCACCTCAGGGGTCTTTGGGTTGCCTCGCTTCCCATCAGCCCACCCCCACCTGCAAAGCCAGCGGGGACTCCGGGGACTCTAAAGCCTGGGATCCTTGGAACCTGGTTATTCAACCAAGGGAGTTGGCTTTTAAAAAAAACATTCTGCCAGGCTGGGTAATTTAAGACCCTCTCAGAGCATTAAGACAAAGCTGTTCTTCACTCTTCATTCGAAAGAAGCTGGTTTTCAAAAGGAAAGGGAAAAAGAGAGGTGGAGAGGGAGGGAAGGAGAGGGGAACTAGAATGAAACTTCCGGGGACAAGCAGTAGCCTATTTGCCTAGCATCTTGAACATTCTAGATGCTTGCTGAAAAAAATATATATATATATTGAGACAGGGTCTCACTATGTAGCCCAGGCTAACCTCAAAACCAGTATCAATCCTTCTGCCTCAACCTCCTGAGTGCTAAGATGACAGGGTTTAAAAAAAATAAACAATAAATAAATAAACCAGTCCACTGGAGAGGAGAGGAAAGTGAACACTGGGCGTTTATTAAATGCCAGCCAGGTGCTTTCTTAAATTCCCTCTGGCCTCAGGGCCTGTGCATTTACCCCGTCCCCCCACCTGAAAAGCCCTTCCCCCAGATAGTGACGCGACACCTTCCCTGACCTCCAGACACCTTGCTTACTAGTCTGACTAGCCTGCTGTCTTCCCAGCACCCAGAGCCTTGGGATTTCTCTACTGAATGAATACCTGCCTCCCGTAACCCCGACATCATGAAGGAAGTCCTCACAATCCCCCCTCTACGGATAAGGCAAGTCATCCGGGAAGCTGCAGGATTCCAGATCACCTGTCTGATGTCAAGTCTGTGTCACCGTCTCGTCTCCTCCCGGTTCTCTCCCCATACACAGCACATCTTACCCATGGCAGAGGTGAGGAGGTGGATCCTTAAGACAGGAACAATTTCAACCCCAGAAATCTCTGCTTTGCCACCCCCCTCAGTCTGGAGATTATACAAATCATGTAGAGCAGGCACCTCTGGTTAGGGCTCTGCGGGCAGGGAGGAAAGTGTCCTTTTCAAAGGTATCCCGACCCCTCCACACCCTAGGGAGGGACACACTGGGTACCTGGTTCATCAGAATGAGGAGAGAGGAAGAGAAATCCTCACTCCCCCTTTCTCTATTATGGGGCTTAGCCACCTGGCTTCCATCCTGAGGAAAACAGGAAGTCTGAAGGCAGGAAAAAAAAAAAAAAAACAAGGCTCTCAGTTGGAGCAGCCCAGACCCCTGTCCTGAGAGTGGAGATGAATGTAGCTGGCACTCTCTTCCCTCAGCTTGGTGGTAGGGCTGGCTGGGTTCCCCTGTGGGAACCCACTTCCTGGTGACTTTCTGCCAGACTGATGCATGCCCCCGACTCCCCGAGAAAGCAGGCAAACACTGAAACTGTTAAAACAGGTACAATTCCGCTTATAAAAATGGGAAGTGCCTTGTTCATAACAGCCAACAACTGAGACAGAGGAAATGCCCAGCAACAGAGGAACTGGTCTGCCCACCACATTAGTCCAGTACACTTCAAGATGAGAAAGTTACGAAGCAGTGAGAAAAGAACGGGGCAGTCACACGTGTGTGGATCTGAAGTGAACTCCAAACACAGCCTCCAAGGACTAGGAGTAACAACGCAGAACCGTTTCTTCGTGTTCAGAAAACAGGCTGCAGGTTTTGCCTTGAAAGAGGACCACTGAGGATTCTGGGAGCATGAGGTAAGGCTGCAGCCTCTTCCCACACTTTGGATACATGTGGTAAAAAGTGCACGATGATTCCATTACACACACACACACACACACACTCACACACACACACACACACACACACACACACGTAGTATATATGTTGGGGATTTTTAAGTACCCCTTGAGAAATTCTAAAATGCCCACTGCCTCATATTCAGTGCTTCTGCAGACACCCCTAACTTTCTGAAGTGCTCAGTGTACCTCAGGTGACGGCCCCTCTTTTTAAATAGCCAAGATCTAGAGCTGGGCAGTGGTGGTGCACACCTTTAATCCCAGCACTCGGGAGGCAAAGCCTGGTGGGATCTCTGTAAGTTCCAGGACAGCCTGGTCTACAGAGGGAGATCCAGGACAGGCACTAAAACTACACAGAGAAACCCTGTCTCAAAAAAAAAAATAGCAAAGATCTTTCCTTTAAAATTTTTTTTTAAGCCAGGCAGTGGTGGTGCACGCCTTTAATCCCAGCACTTGGGAGGCAGAGGCAGGCGGATCTCTATGAGTTTGAGGCCAGCCTGGTCTACAGAGTGAATTCCAGGACGGCCAAAACTACACAGAGAAACCCAGTCACAAAAAAAGGAGAGAGAGAGAGAGAGAGAGAGAGAGAGAGAGAGAGAGACAGACAGAGAGAGAATCCTTTTTGGTATAGGGAGTAGGAGACATGTTCATGTGTGTGGAGGTCAAGACAGTTTATGGAAGTCTCTCCTTCCACCACGTGGTCCCCAAGGGTTGTATTGGGGTAGTGGGGCTTGGCAGCATCCTGCCTTTAAGTGCTCAGCCATCTCGGCTGCCCATAATCCTTCCATTTCTACAGAGCTCACTCAGGGGACTCACGCTGTAGAAACTGTTTCTGACTCTGCTGGCCGTCCTGCTACCCGGTGTTCACCAGAACCAGCGTCAACATCTCAACTGTCACCATAATAAGTGAGACGCAATTGTCACCCTACACGTGGAGACAAAGCAAGGCCCCTCAGGGAAAGCAAGCTGCCCAAAGTTACACAGCCCGGAAGTTGCAACCTCAGGCTCCAGCCCTGCTGCACGTGACTACAGTAAAACCCGAGTTTGTTCTGCCCCACGGCGGGGACACGGAAGGCTAGGCTGCCCGGCTCTGTCTCATTTAATCCTTTAATCAAAGGCGTAACTAGTCCATCTCAAATATCCATTCCGATGAAATACCAGGCTGGTCCCCTTGGAGAGCGCAAGGGGGAGGCGGCCAGCAGTGGGGTACCCTGGGGCACTTTGCCTTTGGGATGATTCAGCTTCTGTGCTCCCCACAAAATGCCCCCAACAAAGTCCTTTCCCTCTACCAACTGAGCAAACAGGACCATACACAAGCCACCCTGGCTCCCCAAAACCAGACTCTTAGCGCAAGACTCCCTCCCTTGTGGCCTGGTAGGAGAGAGTACATTGCCGCACAGCAAAACACCCATCACCTGGAAGGGCATCGGGAGCCCGACAGAGCATCTCTCCTCAAAATGCACCGACTTCCTAGAGTCCCGTGGAAGGCAGGCCACACCACCTGGTCACAGAGAATGCTGTATGCTTGCTCCTGCCTGCGCCATCCCTGCCCCCATCTCTGAACACACAACTATCTACAAAACAAATCTGATGCACTCCAAAATCTACTTGTGACATTAAAAAAAAAAAAAAAAAAAAGTGCTTACTAAATGCCAGAATCATAAACGGAGGGAAGAATGGGCACACAGAAGAAGGACCTATATGGCAAAATAGAAAAACCTTAGCACGCAAGCACCCAGTGTAGGGTGTACACCGATGGGGTCCCTGGGGACTGGAGGGTTTCATTCTCAAGGAAAAGATCCCAGCACCTGGAGATGACACTTAGCTAGGGAATGACTACACCGTAGCTCTCAGAAGCGTTTTTTTGTTTTGTTTTGTTTTTTTGCTGAAACAAATTCCAAGTTCACAGGATGGATGCTCAGATACTACAGAGGGGGTTTAAAAAAAAAAAAAAAAAAGCCCCGGACAGAAACGAAGGTGGCTTCTGTTCACCGGACCAGATTCCCGGAGACATTGCAGCCCAGCAGCCGTGGAGACAATGCAAGCGGCAGGCAGCCCTGGAGGAACGTGGTTCCAGAATAAAGAAGGCTCCACCGTCCCCTTGTGTCCGAATCCCTGCACGGTAAACCCAGGAAGGACCTGGGGGATTAGACCCACCATTCTGAAACCGTGGGCCTCGTCATCGTCTGTTTGGTTTTTGTTTTGTTCTGTTTTGCTTTCAACGGTGCCATGAAATGAAAGGTAAGGTGCCTTTCTGTACTTCTTCGGCTCAGGGGAGACAAAGGCTACATGTAGACAAAAGACAAACACGGTCTAGCAGGTGATCAAATTCAGCCGAGCCATGAATGGCAAGATGGATTCCTGTCCTCCCCAACAGGAACACGTCCACAAAAGCCTAGGCTGGCTGCCGATTTCAACCTATAACACACACGCGGGGTGGACAGCCACCCCTGAGTCCAGAAAGATCCCAGGGATGGGGAAGTGTAAATGAGGAAAAAGAATCCTCTTTCGGGCGGGCGTGGGCAGGCAGGGCCCTTCCCCAAGAAGGTGCGGCCTCTGCCTCCCAGGAGGTACCCCCCCCCCTCCGCACGACCCCTCCCACGGAAGCTGGGGAGCTTCCTCTTTGTTGACAAGCATTCTGGTTCCAAAGGATCCAAAGTCTCCTAGGCCCACCAAACCTGGCCTATGTCAGGCAGGCTGTTGGCTTCTGCAAGGGTTTAATCAGTAACCGGCCTCGTAGACAGCCGCGCGGGGCAGGCCCTGACCTGACCCCACTGAGGGCAAAGTTTACAGCCAGGTCAGGGGAGGGGTGTCAGGTTCCATGGCACCAGATTCCTGTTCGGGTCTCCCTCCCCAGGGAACCAAGAGATTTCCACACTGTGTCACCAGCTGGAGACCCATGCCAGGAGGGACCAGGAGACCCCAGAAACTTGGCTTAGAGATACCCTCGCCTGGTGCAGCTGGGGTCCAAGCCTCTCGAATCTGTCATGATTCAGGTAACTGAATCAGTGTAGACTCAGTGGATGGTTTGGGCAAAAAGGAGTGGTTTCTTTGTTGACTGGTTTGAATCCCAGATCAGTCACTCTGGGTCCGGTTCCTGAAGCCCACACAATTAACTGGATAATCCCCAGACAGTTCTGAACAGGGCTTCCTAGGAGCAACATACACTTCAGCGCTCTGCGAGACATGCTTCTACATGGGCAACTCGAGGCTGGGATATAGTGGCTGCAGAGGGTTTTCTGGGAATGAACTGCACTCACATCCACCTTTGTTTCATTTGAGCAAATATTTCTCAACAGAGTGGTTGGGCCGCACTATAAAATGCAGACAGGTTACATAATGCCCAGGCCTAAGGGAGGCCCGAGGAGGCTCCTCCACTTGCCAAGGAGTGGACACCACCGATATCTCAACGCGGGACAAGATCCATAGCAGCAAACCCTAACCCCACCTCTGGTCTGGAGGCTCCAGGCCCTGGTGGCCACACCTCCATCCACACAGGCCCTAGGGGTAGGGGAGCCACACACCTCCACTAGAGGCCTCCACTGGAGGCCCCCATTGACGCCCCCACAAAGCCAACGCTCCACTGAAGGAATTCCCTCGTACTAGGTGAAGAAAGGGAAGGGCAGGATTATGGCAGCCTGTGAGACACTTCCTCCCAGTTCCTTAGTCCCTATTTTCTATCAAAGAACAAGGCTCTGCCAAGACCCAACTTGCTCCTCAGATAACCTAGGGCCACACAAAGGACTCAGGTGTTCCTCAGAGGTAGCCCCCGGACCTCAGCTGGCCAAGGATAGAAGGGGCCCTGGCTGCTAGAGACTCTTGGGCCTGAGTCCTTTCTGACTCTCTCAAACAGACAGACCTCTTGAGCAGCCAGGGAAAGTAGGGAGCCCTCTTGTCTCCAGAGCTTGCCTCTCCCAAAGCAGGAAGATCAAGCTAGCCACACCATGACGGTGCCCTGGAGGACCAGGGAATGTCCTGTCCTTCCTACAGCAGGTCACTATCCCTCTCAACTACTGTCCTTCCCTGACAACTCCTCTGCATTTGGAAGGATGGCTGGAAAAAGAACAGAGCCTAATAAAGGACCCCCCAGCCCCCGCCCAGCTCAACTCGGGCAGGTAATAATGCTAAAACCAGACTTAGGGGCTCCAGAGCCCAGGGAAGGTTACCAACCCACCCCTGGGACGCGAAAGCCCCAGGACTGGCCAATCAAATGAAAATCAAGGCCGAGGCCTATGACTCAAAAGAGGGTTTAAGAACACACACCACCGATCTGGGAGAAGACTGGGCCGCCTCCGGCAACCCTCAATCCTCCCGGGGACAAAGTCTGCAGTTACTGCACCAGCATGCCCAGAAGAGCATAGAAAAAAAAATAGGTGCTTTAAGCACATCAGACCCAAAATTCAGAATAAAAGTCCTCATATGCCACAGTGCTCTCAAGGGTGGGTAGAGAAACGAGACTCAAGGAGTACGGAGTCTAGGCTAACTTTTTCCCCCTCCCATTCTTAGGAGCATGTGTCACAGCCTGTGACACACCACCAAGGGAACATGGATGCCGAGGAAATGTCTACACACGCTACACATTTGTGGCATGCATGTAAGCAACACCCTGTTTCCTGGCTGGGCTTTCTTGGCACAGGTGTGAGCAGGCAGTGGATTCTACCCTTTCCCATGGTGTTTAGTAAACACCATGGAGCCTGCCAAGGGGGGACGTGTACATTCTAGACAAGAAGGGGGCCCCTACAAAGATGGGTCCCCAAGCGCCAAGCCAAGGCCCAGCCAGAGCCTGTATTTGAAACTGCCCTTGTTGGAAAACACAAAGCATCCTGTTTAGGCCCTGCCCACCGCCCCCACTCCCCCTCCTCGACCCCACCACAGCTGTCTGTCCCCAGGAGGAAGAAGGCCACCATTTGCAGATTCGATTTCCGAAAGCAACTAGTAAGATCCTCCTTTCTCCATCTCATCCAGCTGACCCGGCCCTGGCCACACAGCAAAAAAACTAACAAAACAGGACGCAGCCACAAAACATGCTTACACACGCTCCACAGACAACGCAAGGGCAGGCTGGGCAGCCCAGCTTCTACTACCCAGAGAACTCGACTACCCCCAGGGCCTGAGCGGGTCCGGGTCCTGGACCTCGACCCCCTCCCCCTCCAACCTCCCAACGTGCGAAAGAGGTTTTTCAGAAAGGGCAGGCACCCGGTTTTGCCTTGCCAGGCCGGGCAGAAAAAAGAATAAAGGAAAGCCAAAGCAAGCGCAGGAGTTGCTTTCTGGAAATTGTTGGCGCTGGGGGGTTGGGGAGGGGTGGTTTACGGTTTTTATGGAGGAGAGGGCTGTGTTTTGTTTTCCCCCTGTAGCTCAAATCCAGATGGGCAACGGGTTCGGAAACGGAACAACACACCACTACCCGAGGGCCCAGTCTAAGGTTCACCCCGGGGTCCCAGCCATCGGAAACGCAGGCGCTCTGGCAAAAGTCCCTAAGCACTCAGTCCGGGTGGGCTAAGTGTCCAGGACACGAAGAAGGGCTCCCCAGCCTGCATTGGAGGATCAGGTCTGGAGGTTCCAGCCCAGCTCCGCGCGCAGGCCGGGACCCGGGGGCCGCGCGCTCGGGGGGCAGCCAGCGGGGGTGCCTCGGTCCCGGGGGACCCCAGCTTGGGGAGCTCCACGGCCACGCAGGGCCACTCACCGTGGCGGATGCCAAGCTGTTGTCGGCCAGCGTTAGGTGGTGCGGCTCCCAGCGCCTCAGAAATTTGGAGGTGAGGATCTTGCTGAGAAAGGTCCGAGGGTGCCGGATGACACAGACCTGAATGTCGCCCTCCTGCAGCAGCTTGTACCTCATCCCGTTGCACAGCAGCAGGGCCCGGCGGCAAGGCACGGCGCCCATCACCTTGGTGCCCTCGGGGCCCGACACGTCGCTCCCTAGCAGCGGCTTGGTCTCCTCGATCTGCCGGGGGTCGCCGCCGCCCGAGCTGCTCGTCACATCCATGGCCGCGCCGGGGCGGGGGCCGCGCGCGCGATCGCGGCT